GTATTGTTGAGCATCTCCTTCCAGTCGATTGCGCAAAGCTGGACCACGTTTCTCAGGTTCTAACTCCGTGATGTCACACCAGTCATCAATTGCATCTTCAGAAGCAAAGAAACTAGTTCTCCCATCATATGATGGAGCTACCTTTGTGGTCATTTGTTGCGTCATGTGAATTTGTGTCTGCTGGGGTGCTCTTCTCATTGCATAAGAGTCATATTGGTTCCATCCATCTGCATCGACAATGTCGAAGTCATCATCATCATAGCCATGGCGTGCCATTGCTTGGGCTCGTCCTGGAGCTCACCCTCAATGAGGGATCGCTGCTCCGCTACCACTTGAAGAGGGGCCCTAGCGTCTACTTCAAGATCAGCTAAGGCGTCTTCCCCAATGACAGCACTCTTTTACTCAGCCTGTTGCCGGTCAGTGCTATGTCTACAGGGTTACTCTATATACCTCTTGAGCCTTGAAGGGGCGCATATAAATGTGCTCAATACTCATGCATAGTACCTGGTAGGTATTAGGTCGAAACAAAAACAGGGGGGCTCCCCCCCTCTAAAATGGTCATGGGTTCAATTCCCACGGGTGACGCGGTCACGGGCCCCCACATTAGAGGCACACTTTCCATGAGGGAGATGTCCCTGTAGTCCAGCATAATTGGTATGCGTCAGCCTCAATAACAGTTGCTGCAAGGGGTCTTAAAAAGGGGTTTTAAATAAACCCCTTTTCGTGCATCATTTCACGCTGCACAAGACACCGTATCATGCAGTCATGCTCTGGATAAAATCATCTTAGATTGCGCAAAAACGTTTTTGGTGTATCATCTTAGGGGCGCAGCATTTTGAAACCACTCCTCTCCCACTACACTACCTTTCGTCCGCCTCCGCCTGCTCTCAAGTATTCTTAAATAAACCCTAAACAAACCGCAAAAAAACACTAACCCAACCCTAAATAAACCCTAAACCAACCCTAAACTAAGCCTAAACCAAGCCTAAACCAAGCATAAACCAAGCCTAAATAAACCCTAAACCAACCCTAAACAGACCCTAAACCAACCCTCAGTAACCGGAAATAAGCCCTAAACAAACTTTAAATAAACCGTAAACCAACCCTAAATAAACCCCAAACCAACCCTAAACCAAGCCTAGATAAACCCTAAGCATTTTTTAAATAAACCGTAAGCCAACCCTAAATAAAACCTAACCCAAACCTAAAGAAACCCTAAACTAACCTTAAACCAATCCTAAATGATCCTAAACCAACCCTAAGCCAACCCTAAATAAACCCTAAACCAACCAACACTATGATAGCATCCAATGCCACTATTTAGACCCAACACGGTTGTGCTTCAACCTATATTCTACTTGTTCACCAGGTGCATGTTATGCATGGAAAAAATCGATCAAAACCATAGAAAATCAATTGAAACCATGGAAAACTCAATGAAAACTATGGAAACATCGACGAACACTTTGGGTAAATCAATGAACACCATGGAAAAACCGGCCAAAACCATGGAAAAATCGATGAACAGTGCAAACGGCACATTTTCGCTCCAAAATTCAGCAAAGTACAGGTTTTTGTTCCAAAATGTAGCAAATAGCAAGGAGCAGTGCCCCAGACTGAAAAACAAAAAAATACAAGATGCAGCCCACGAACCCGAATGCTCACACGTATGCTAATGGTACAGATGTCAAAACACATGGATATGCAGTCACGCAGAACACTTTTCTGCAAGAGTATATTTGAACAGTCTTGTGCATATTTACCCTGTTACCAGTCCGCAGTGTGAAGTGGAAAGTGTAGAGTGTGGAGTGTGGAGTGGAAAGTGTAGAGTGTGGAGTGTGGAGTGTAAAGTGAGGAGTGTGGAGTGTAGAGTGCAAAGTGTCGAGTGAGGAGTGTAAAATGTAAAGTGTAGAGTGTGGAGTTTAAAGTGTAGAGTGTGGAGTGTGGAGTGGAAAGTGTAGAGTGTAGAGTGTGGAGTGTAAAGTGTGGAGTGGGGAGTGTAGAGTGTGGAGTGGGGAGTGTAGAGTGTGTAAAGTGTGGAGCGTGGAGTGTCGAGTGTAAAGTGCAGAGTGTAAAGTGTAGAGTGCGGAGTGTGGAGCCTGGAGTGTAAAGTGTGGAGTGGGGAGTGTAGAGCGTGTAAAGTGTAGAGCGTGGAGTGTAGAGTGTAAAGTGCAGAGTGTAAAGTGTAGAGTGTGGAGTGTGGAGTGTAAAGTGTAGAGTGTGGAGTGGGGAGTGTAGAGCGTGTAAAGTGTAGAGTGTGGAGTGTAGAGTGTAAAGTGCAGAGTGTAAAGTGTAGAGTGTGGAGTGTGGAGTGTAAAGTGTAGAGTGTGGAGTGTGAAGTGGAAAGTGTAGAGTGTGGAGTGTGGAATACGGAGTGTAAAGTAAGGAGTGTGGAGTGGATTTCCTCCAGTTTTGACATTTCGGACACGTTATCAAACAGGTTGGAATGTCACAAAGCGCCACGCCTGCCACGCAAAACGACATGACAACCTGCTTGGAAACTTTCGAAAAGGAGAGGTTTTGCAGCTTCCCCTATAGACACGGCGACGCCACAGGAAAACCAGAGACTCGAGACAAGACACGTGGGTGGAGAAAAACAAGCATTTCGTGCGAGACTTGCTCCAATGTTGACACTTTCGGCACGTTATCAAGCAGGTTGGAATGTCACAAAGTGCCAGGCCTGCCACGCAAAACGACATGACAACCTGTTTGGAAACTTTCGAGAAGGAGAGGATTTGCAGCTTCCCCCATAGACACGGAATTATAACCATCCGACGACGACCTGACGACGACCCGACGAGACACTCGAGGCGAACAAGGGTCCAGCCTCCAGACCCCCAGGCTATAAACGGGAACCCTTCGCTACGCATTCGGGAATAAACAGGATGGAAGCCACGAACCCGAATGTATTCACGTTCTTGGCCTACGAGTGAAAACTTCTGCAATAGGAAAACGAACCTTTTTTTCATGCATCGCGCGCTCATATCGTCTCAGCGAAGGCACCTGATCAACAGTTCACAAAGAGACAAACTAACTCACAAAGAGACACACAATAAGAACAGATGATTCCACAAGTCAATATAAGTCAATTGGCTTAAATTCTACACGTTTGCTACAGATATGCTTGTCAAGTATATTACATATCTGTGTGGAGTGAGGAGTGAAAAATGTAAAGTGTAAAGTGTAGAGTGTGGAGTGTGGAGTGGAAAGTGTTGAGTGTGGAGTGTGGTGCGTAAAGTAAGGAGTATGGAGTGTAAAGTGCGGAGTGTAAAGTGTAGAGTGTGTAGAGTGTAGAGTACGCGGAGTGTAGAGTGTAAAGTGTAGAGTGCAAAGTGTAGAGTGAGGAGTGGAAAATGTAAAGTGTAGAGTGTGGAGTGTGGAGTTTAAAGTGCGGAGTGTGCAGTGAGGAGTGTGGTTGTGTAGGGTGTAGGGTGTGGTGGAATGTGGAGCGTGGAGGGTAGTGTGTGGAGTGAGGAGTGTGGAGTGTAAAGTGTGGAGTGTGGAGTCTGGAGTGTGGAGTGTGCAGTTGGTAAAGTGTGGAGTGTGGGGTGTAGAGTGTGGAGTGTGGAGTGGAAAGTGTAGAGTGTGGAGTGTGGAGTGTAAAGTGTGGAGCGTAAAGTGTGGAGTGAGGAGTGTGGAGTGTAAAGTGTGGAGTGTGGAGTGTGGAGTGTGCAGTGGGTAAAGTGTGGAGTGTGGGGTGTAGAGTGTGGAGTGTGGAGTGGAAAGTGTAGAGTGTAGAGCGTGGAGTGTGGAGTGCGGAGTGTAAAGTAAGGAGTGTGGAGTGTAAAGTGTGGAGCGTGGAGTGTAAAGTCTGGAGTGTGGAGTGTGGAGTGAGGAGTGTGGCTGTGTAGGGTGTAGGGCGTGGTGGAATGTGGAGTGTGGTTTGTAGTGTGTGGAGTGAGGAGTGTGGAGTGTAAAGTGTGGAGTGTGGAGTGTGCAGTGGGTAAAGTGTGGAGTGTGGGGTGTAGAGTGTGGAGTGTGGAGTGGAAAGTGTAGAGTGTGGAGTGTGGAGTGTAAAGTGTGGAGTGTAAAGTGGGGAGTGGGGAGTGTAAAGTGGAAAGCGTGGAGTGTAAAGTGTGGAGTGTAGAGTTGAAAGTGCAGAGTGTAAAGTGTAGAGTGTGGAGTGTAAAGTGTGGAAAGTGGAGTGTAAAGTGTAGAGTGTGGAGTGTGGAGTGTAAAGTGTAGAGTGTGGAGTGGGGAGTGTAGAGTGTGGAGTGTGGAGTGTAGTGTGGTGTGGAGAGGGGTGTAGAGTGTAGAGTGTAAAGTGTGGAGTGTATTGTTGCGCCAGCCACACAAAAGAAATTTCGACACGTTATCAAGCAGGTTGGAATGTCACAAAGTGCCAGGCCTGCCACGCAAAACGACATGACAACCTGCTTGGAAACCCTTTCGAAAAGGAGAGCTTCCCCCATAGACACGGAATTAACGACGCGACTCCAACCCGACGAGCCACTCGAGGGGAACAAGGGTCCAGCGCCCAGACCCTTAGACTATAAACGGGAGGAACCCTTCGCTACGCATTCGGGGAAAAAAATAGAAAAATCTGCGCTCCTTGGAAATTCCATGGCCCAAAGTCACTGAGTTACCGACGAGGGCTTGAAAGATTTTTGACATTCCTGGATTATAGGCTGTGCATGCGAGCAGTGGGCCTTTCTGTTTGCAGCCTGTTCTCGTGGATCTTTGATATCTTTGGCACTTGCATTTTGCTGCGTAGATTTTGCACTCGCACGTCTGCCCACATACAATCATGCGTCTAGCATGTGTGATTTTTTTCACTGGGCACCCCCAGTGATTTTTCTCACTGGGCACCCCCATTTGCCCAGCTCGCTTTCTCTGTTTCTAGCCATTAGCCTGTTTATACTTCGGGTTGTGCATTATATTTGCCCAAGCTAGAGCTTAGAATAGCGGCGAAATGCCATGCCCAAACAGACATGTACACATGCTACTACAGGAATGACGGCCCTTTCGGGCCTTGCCCCCCAATCTTGATGGAATCCAAGGCCGACATCGTTGCGATAACGAGCGATTTTGAGGGCACCTCTCAAGAGTATTTGGTTGGCTGCTTTCGAGACAGCACTCCTAATCGGGCCAAAGTGTGGGTGCAGCAGGTCGGACGCGGAGCAATGGTAATGGCGGTAATGGGCCCTGCATGGAGTTTTGTTTTTGGGGCTTGCCTTTAGCATCTTTAGCTCAGTAATGATTACGTGCCCCCGCCTTTTTCCACAGATTGAAGTCTTGGCTCCCATCCATGCAGTCATGCATGTGTGTAGCTACGCTTGCAAGTTCACTATGATTGGATGAATGTATGTATTAGCATATGAATGAATGTATGATAACGTATGTGTACGCGCTTGTGTGTGTGTGTGCGTGACGCATCTGCATAGATGTAAAACTTCTATTATTTATATTATATATGCGGGGGGTCACCGGGGTCCCGGGGGCGTCGGTGACCAATGAAGACACCTCCCCGGGACCCGTGTAAACGTACCCGCAGGACTTCGGTGGTGCACCTGGGCGCATCTAAGTCGCAGCTGGTGGCCACCGTAGTCCGATATATATATATATATATATATGTGTGTGTGTGTATTCATCCTTATATAAGTAACTAATCTAGTTGCATGTTACAGGACTCAGTTCCTGACGGATCATATAATGATCCTTTCTTATCTAGTGTGATTCCTATGGTGACTCCGACATGGTGCCATAGGGCCATTTGAGGCAACCCTTTTCAGGGTGAATGTCGACTGAACTGACTTCCGAACTCACACATTTTAACTTAGTAATTCGTCTAGGTAAAGTGCAACAGCTGGCCTTTCTGTTTTGCACCTTTTTCGAGAATTCCCGCGGCTCCGGACGTCCCAGGGACCCCAGTGATTTGCTTCTCTTTCAGCGTGAGATCGTTCGGAACAGTCAGAAACTTCATTTTTCGTACCTGCAGCTTCAGTTTTTGACACAATACATGGCACGAGCAAATGAAGGCAATAGGCATGTCCTTTTCCTGCAGGTGTGGTCTCTTTGGTATCTGGTGAGGTGAAACATATTGTGCACCTAATTCGTTGGAACTTGAAAGCCGTCTTAGCCAATTGGGGCAGAACTGACCACGGTCCCGCCAAGGGAACAACGCACGACATCTAGGTATTTAGGAACTGAGTCTTGTTTTTCTTCTTTTTTGGGTTTTCACCAACTAATCCCCATTGGTCCCCTATCTCATGCGTTCTTCCCTCCCCAGGTAGGTCGCTTCCGTCGCGTGCTGAGGTGTGTGTAGGTTCTCGCTGTGTTAGGTTGGTTCAGGCGCTTTCGTCCTTCCCCCCCTCCGCTGGTCTTGTTCCGTGTCCGTCGACCCTCCGCTTTTCTTTTCCCTTGCCCTTTCAGGGTTTGCCTGCTCCGATCGCGTCCTTGTTAAGTAATTTTTAATCTCATCTTCAAGGTCACCTCACCTTCACTTCCCCCTCATCCTCATCTTCACCTCATCTTCCATCGCACCACCCTGCCAAAGGCAGGGTGTGTGTGCGTGTGTGACACATCTGCATAGATGTAAAACTTCTATTATTAAAATTATATATGCGGGGGGTCACCGGGGTCCCGGGGGGGTCGGTGACCAATGAAGACACCTCCCCGGGACCTGTGTAAACGTACCCGCAGGACTTCGGTGGTGCACCTGGGCGCATCTAAGTCGCAGCTGGTGGCCACTGTAGTATATATATATGTGTGTGTGTATTCATCCTTATATAAGTAACTAATCTAGTTGCATGTTACAGGACTCAGTTCCTG